CACACACACACACACACACACACACACACACACACACACACACACACACCAGAATTTTTTTCAGTACATTATTTGGCATCTCTGGATAATTTCCTTAGAACACAGTAGTTATAGAGGAAGTCTCAAATGGATAACTAATGGGGCATGAAGACACTTGGAATGTCAAATAATGTATACATATCCATAGTACATGAAACTACGTTGTGAAGTACAGTTGATTGCTGATTATGCTACATTATTACATTTCTACCACATATATGAATATACAGCTTTGGATATATATGAAGTATTTAATGTTTCTTATACTTTTATTTAAACATTATAACATTAATGTTAAAACATGGTAACAGAACAGCATACATTGGGGTATATCATCTATTGTTGTACTTGTACTCATCAGAGTGACACAAGTATCATGAGTTCAAATGTATCCCTGACTAATTACTGACATTGAAGCCAGGCTGATAATAAACATCATCAAGGGAATTTATGAAAATATGAAAAACAGAACAACTTACCACCCTTTCACAAGCACTCTCACTTGAAAAGGATGATCACAAACTTCCAGATATTTAAATAAACAATGGACCACTTAGACGATGGACATCCCATTCTATACATTGCAATAGAAAAATACCTATTACTAAGTGAAAGCACAACAGAAGATGAACAGAAGTCAAAGAAAGAATAAAAGGACAAAAATATAAACTTCACTAAATGGATTTGCCACACTTATAGCACACTTTAATACATAACTCAAATGTTGCAAAAATAGAAACAATGCAGTGATCTCCACAATCTGTCTTGAGTGAACATGTTAAATACTATGTGCTTCCTTCAAGGAATGATGAAAAAGAAATGAAACAAGATTGTTTTCTTGAAATTGAAGAAAACTGTGATGTCAAGTTTCTATCAAATCATTTACCTGAGTAGGGTTTTTCTCTTGTAGGAATTATTTCCTATTTCCTGACATCAACATGAAATATAAAGGCTTTTAAATATCTACAGGCTGAGAGACATGGCCAAGTAGTTATAAGAAGCTCATTCCCAGGAAAAAGGTCAGGTTTTTAACAACTTTCTGTAATTCCAGCTAAAAGGAGAGCCAAGGGTATACATTTTTGGGGAATCACCATGCACACAGTAAAGACACATTGAGATCACACAATTAAAACAAATTTTTAACAATGAGATTTTCACTCAAGAATGTTTTTCTCCCTTAAGGATTTATTCCTATAACCCAGGTGTTGAAGAATCAAAAGGCTCACTTACAGAGTTTTCTTCATCATGAACTGACTTATGTAACAGAAAGCAAGCAGAGCAAGCATGGAGGCTTGCAGTTAGAGAAATCATTCCTGCTCAGTTGGTGGTATCATTTGGAAAGATCTGGGTAATGCATGCCCTGCTGGAAGAAATAAGTACCTGGGTGTGAGCATGAGAATTCACATCCACACCATTTCCAGTTTGACTTTCACCTTCATGTTGTAGGTGGAAGATGACAGTTCTTAGCATTCTGCTGCAGCTGCCGTGTTTGAAACTTGTTGCCATGCCACTTTCATTGTGATTCTATACCCTTCTGGACCCAATGGCCAACTCTTTCATGAGTAGACTTAGATATCACGTTTTATCACAGCAATAGACAAGGAAATACTACTACACATGCATTAAGTGTTACACCTGGATGCCTTATAGCATGTAATTGAACTGTAGAATAGAAAATGAAAACTTTATCATTTAAATTCACAGGTCTTTTGTCCACATGAAAGATTTTACCAAACCCTTTATGGCCAGATTTCCTTCAGTATTAATTTTGTCAGGCCCTCAGAGACTACTGTAAAATGCAAAGGTTTTAAGCGACTAATTATACACTACAAGTCTTACTCTTGTATAAAGACTACCATGACATGCAAAACTTTACTACACTCAGTACATTTATAGGGTTTCTCTGCAGTATTTTCTCATGATTTCAGACTGCTGATTCACGCAAAGGCTTTACCACATTGATGACATTCATAGGGTTTTTCTCCAGTATGTGTTCTTCTATGTGTTCAGAGATTTCCTGTGTCTTATAAGCACTTTACCACAATTACATTCAAAGGGATTCTATTTAGAATGTGTTCTTTTATGTATTTGGAGACTACCAGGACATGCAAAGGCTTTACCACATTGATTACAATTAAGGGGTCTCTCCCCAGAATGTGTTTTTTTATGTATTTGGAGACTACTGGCACAGGCAAAGGCTTTCCCACATTGATTACATTCATAGGGTTTCTCTCCTGTATGGGTTCTTTCATGCCTTTGGAGATGACTATGTAGTAAAAAGGCTTTATCACATAGATTACATGTGTAGGGTTTCTCTCCAGTATGTGTTCTTTCATGTATTCGCAGACTACTGGAACATGAAAAGGCTTTACCACATTGATTACATTCATAGGGTTTCTCTCCAGTATGTGTTCTTTCATGAATTTTGAGATGACCATGTCGTGAAAAGTCTTTATTACATTGATTACATTTGTAGGGTTTCTCTCCAGTATGTGTTCTTTCATGTATTTGGAGATGACCTTTTTGTGAAAAGTCCTTACCACATTGATTACATTTGTAGGGTTTTTCTCCATTATGTGTTCTTTTATGTACTCGGAGATTACTGTGTCGTGAAAAGACTTTATCACATTGATTACATTTGTAGGGTTTCTCTCCAGAATGTGTTCTTTTATGCACTTGGAGATAACTTTGTCGGGAAAAG